AAATTATCAAAAGAGCCATAGCTTTCCGAGCTTCGTGGACTCGTTTAATAATTAGACCAATAGCAATTGCTTAATTATCGAGTTCATGTCATAACGTATTGTTCGAGCTCTTACCACATTGTCCGAGCTATTGTCACATTGTCCGAGTCTTCACGTAACAGAGTTGTCCGAACTCTTCTCGCGACGTGTTGTATGAACTCCTTTGAAAAGACGCGTCTCGGGTTTCACACCCGTCCTTTTTACCTGCTATTAATAACACTGAGTTGGCTTACGCGCCTAGGTTTTATTTCTTAGCCCTTAAATTGCACCAATAGCAATTGCTTAATTATCGAGTTCATGTCATAACGTATTGTCCGAGCTCTTATCACATTGCCCGAGCTATTGTCACATTGTCCGAGTCTTCACGTAACAGAGTTGTCCGAACTCTTCTCGCGATGTGTTGTATGAACTCCTTTGAAAAGACGCGTCTCGGGTTTCACACCCGTCCTTTTTACCTGCTATTAATAACACTGAGTTGGCTTACGCGCCTAGGTTTTATTTCTTAGCCCTTAAATTGCTTTGGATTTAACGGCTGAGATGACTCTTTTCCCCATCATAAATAGGTCGTTTCTCCCTCAACCACACCTTTGGCGCCTCTGTTTTTTCAATCTCGATTTAGCAAAAATAACTAGACCACCATTTTTATCAGCGAATTTTCCTCAGCTCTCCGGTGACAACGTGTTGTCTCCTTGTTCCCCTCCGATTTCCGGCCACTTTGATTCCCATGGGTATGTTCTCTTACTTTCTCTTTTTTTTTTTCTTGCTTTCCCGCAGTGTCACCATTTTTCTTCTTCTTTTTTTTTTTACAAGTGTCGGCTATTGTATTTGTCGGTCGCTACTTTTTTCGGCCGCCATACATTTTCGACTTTGACTTGTGTATGTATTCGTTTGTTTTCTCTCTTTTTTTTTAGATCCCAACTCTCTAGATGTTGTTACAGTATCCTCGGCATCCGAGCACTCCGTGCCTAACCTGAGCTCTTCTTCTGAAGAGCTCGTGGCTCACCCTGGTACCCCTACCCGAGCCATGCCCCTTAGATCCGCTCTACAACTTCGTGATGAAGTTGACGGGGACGTTCCATGGGAGAGTCTAACTCCAATAAAAGATGATAGCTCGCTCCCCTTAGTCTATGGCCCTCCTCAAGGCATCCCTTTGCCCGCCTCCGAACTATGTGCTCAACAAGCGAACATTACCGTAGGTACCGACCCCTCAGTGAACCCTACCATGACTTTAGCTTCCAATGTCGTAGTAGTTGCCCGGCCCAACCCCTTCTTTCAAGCCGACGAGCCCGAAATCAAAGCTTTTATGAGATTGTACGAGTTCCCACCCGATTGGGTGTTTCAAGCACCCTATCTGGGTAGCTCGTATAATCGACCTACCCGCGGTTTTTATACATTTTTTATCGACCAAGTAGCTAGTGGTCTCCGGTTTTCCATCCGCCCTGACTTGCTCGCCTTAACCGAGAAATATAATTTCCCATTAACCAGCTCAACCCTAATAGTATTCGTGGGGTACACTCAAGAAGAGGGTGTAGACTTTGATGAAATATTTGCTCCTGTTGATCGCCTAGAGTATGTTAGGATGTTCTTATCCATTTCATGTTTGTTGGGCTTTGTAATCTATCAAATGGATGTGAAATCTGCATTTTTGAATGGCGTTTTGAAAGAGGTAGCTTATGTTAAGCAACCTGAGGGATTTGTGGATCCTCACTATCCAGATCATGTGTATATGTTGAAGAAAGCGTTATATGAACTCAAACAAGCTCCTAGAGAATGGTACGAACGCTTGATCCATTTCTTGATTATGAAGGACTATTCTCGTAGGGGAGTTGATCAAACTCTTTTTGTGCGAAAATTTAAGAAAGATGTAATCATCGTTCAAATTTATGTCGATGATATCATCTTTGTCTGTACCTCGAAAGCTTGGGTCAATGAATTCGTGAACCATATGTCTAACGAGTTTGAGATGAGTATGGTTGGTGAGATGTACTATTTCTTAGGCTTGCAAGTGAAGCAATCGAATGATAAGATCTTTCTTCACCAAACCAAATATGCTAAGAACTTGGTGAAAAACTTCGGGTTAGAACACGCTAAATGTCCTGCTACTTCAATAGGAAGCCACAAAAAGCTCTCTAAAGATGAAGTTGGAACACCAGTGGATTCGACCCTTTATACGAGCATGATAGGAAGTTTGTGGTATTTGACTGCTAGTATGCATGATTTGTGTTGTAGTGTTGGAATGTGTGTTCGCTATCAAGCTAATCCTAAGGAGTCTCATCTCGAAGTCGTGAAACATATCATTAAATATGTCCATGGTACTTCTGACTTAGGAATTCTTTATTCGCATAATACAAGTGCAAGTCTTGTAGGATATTGTGATGCTGATTGGGCAGGTAATGTGAATGACCAACATAGCACATCAGGAAGATGTTTTTACATCGGAAAAACTTGATCTCTTAGCCGAGCAAGAAACAGAATTGTGTGGCCTTTTCAACTGCTGAAGTTGAATATATCTCGACTAGAAGTTGCTTTTGAAATTGCTTCTATATACATTACCAACAGATGTTTAATCTTTAGATTGTTGTTTGTTTTAATGTTAATAATATCTATTCTCTTTGGCATAAAAAAAAAAGGCTAGATTGCGATAAGATTTTAGGTTCATGTTCTACCGAGTATTTATTTCTCTAAAATTATGAATTTACTAAGGTATTAAAAAAAAATGGTGATTTATTAATTTTATAAAACTGTTTACCTTTTCATTGCCATTTATCTGATTTTTTTTATACTATAGTATTTATAAAATAAAAAACATAATTACAACTAGACAATAACTAGAATAAGTCAAACAACCATCTAGCTGAATTTAAGGAGGAACCCTGACAACACGGGGGCTTCGAGAACTACTCTAGCACACCGCGAAACAACCGGACTAAAAAGCTCCCACAAGAGAATAATAACAACTCCTACAAGAAGAGACTAAAACAACTACAAAGCATAGAAAAAATCCTATTTTTATCTACAGAATCATTTTGTGGCATCATGATCCACAAGAGGCTCCACAAACTGCCACTCACTCTTGTCATCCGGAGGCGAAATCCCTTGTTCCAAAACAATCTTCAGCCATTTCACCTTGTTTAAATACTCCTCCAAGTCCATAACTGCAGCTTCTAGAGTATCAAAACGAGCCGAGTTCAGAACTAATCCTCCTTTACCTTTCTCATCTTCGCCTGAATCAAGGTTTTCCTTGTCAGCAACATCCAGCTTCGGCTCAGTTTTAGCCTGCCCAGACTTCGTCTTGTTATCATCATAATCTTCCCTCTTCTTAGTCCTTTTTGTTTTTTTAGGAGCCGTAGGTTGTGAAGATTTGTTATATGTGTCCTTAGTTTCAGTGCTCTTCATCTCATTCGATACAACCATGGTTTCTTCACCTGTAATGGCTCGAGTGTCACCAGTGTTATTTGATGCGCGTGTGAACAAACGTTTTGTTATACAAGAAAAAACAGGTTCGCTGCAAAATATCATCTAAGTTGGTTTTTTTAACCCCAAGCCCATCTTAATCCCTTAAACTAACTAAGGGTAAAAAAGAAAAAACTCCCTGAGATCTAGGTTACTAACATACAGAAGATGAAAAGCCACTTCCAAAAATTACGATTACACCCTTAAGGCACCACACCTACCCATTGAATAAAGTAGCCACTTAACAAATGCCCCATATATGCACTTAATGCAATAGTCACTTAATATCACGGGAATATATTTCAAGAGCTGGATTTTTCTGCTAGAATAAAAACAAAGAGGAGCAAACTTAGGTCTATAGTGGGGCTCACAATATACTTTCATGCCAAAGCCTCATTTAGAATTCTAGACAGATTTTACACCGCTCCACAAAAAGCACTTAAATAATCATACCTTGTTCTTTAGGTTTAAGAAGCCAAGCACTAGGGCGACCACTATCGCCTTCCTGCAATGAATCACAAAGACAGATGAGTATAATGATGAATATCAAAGACTAACATGACGAAAAATAATCGGGTAAGAATGCACAAAGCAGCAATAACGGACCCGTCACAATGTCAATTTGGCTGGGATCTAATTGAAATAATAAAGAAGTCCTTTAACATGAAAATATATATGCTGAGTTGTGAGGTCTAACGTCTTCTTGATCTGATTATACCTTAAAGCAACAAGAAAGAAACTATGCAACTCTAGTACCATATAAAATCTATGAAGAATAACTGGAACTATGAAAGTTAAAGGCTGTTAGATGTTTTTACAAGATTTAGGACTGCATTTGAAACAAATAAAAGTCAAAATGCAGACATGAGTATTAATTAGAAATAAACAAAGACGTCTTAAATTCTCGTTAATATTCTTTCTTTGGACAAAGGGTACATTTTAAATAAATTAAAAAAAAAAAAAAAAAAAAAAAAAAAAAAAAAAAAAAAAAAAAACAAGACAAGCTGTGCAATAACTTATGAATGAGTATGGTTGGAATTAATCCCACTATATCTGGCTTTAGCATTAGCATGACAAAACTTTACATATGATCCAAATTTGGACTTCATGCTCACCAAATTTATGATTTGTGAAAATTAATCAAATAATGAAACCATATAAGAAAGAGGAAATCACATTTCCTCATGAGAACAGGACGAAAAAAAAAGATAATTATCACATTGGACTCAAACCCAAAACCCCAACAACAACAACATACCCAATATATTCCCAACTGGTTGAGGTGTGGGGGGTCAGTTGTACGCAGACCTTACCCTTGTAATTATACAAGGAGGCTGTTTCCGTAGCGATCCAAGGTGCATTGTGTCGTTTGATATATTTTTTTTTAGAAACTTCACTAATAGAAGAAGCACTATAATTTAATTGAGCCATTTTGATCTAGTCCATTATTAGCACTATGCCAGGAGAATTGTCAACAATGACTCTTCCAGCTCCATTTGCAATGGACAATCAAACCCAAAACCCCATTGGGAAAAAATCATTGTAGGACTTGGGTATCAAAGTACGACCTTAATTTTACAGTCAATTAGGGGCATATGTTTCCAAATTTTTACAACTGGAGGCTTGAATTTTAAAAATCATTCTCAAAGTAAATCTAAATGGATTCTCAAGCCTTATTGCAATATTTCCCAATTGATAAAAAAAAATAAAATAAAAAAATAAATAAATAGATTGACTAAAATGACCGATATTAATTAAAATTAATTTAATTATGAACAATGAAGCTTCACCCATTTTTGGTGATGTTTTTATTTATTTTACTATAAATATGATAAAGATAAATATGCTTTTATCTATCTATATAATGGCTTGTATTTAATTGAAATTGTAATGGTTTCTGCTAAAAAAAAAAAAACATATATTATTTTATTTATTTCTGTGGTGGTCAAACTTTTATTTAAATTTTACATAACAAGAAATCAATAATTTATCTAAAATTATTGATTAAACATTTCATATTTAGTCAATCAATTATTTTTTCGATCTAATCAATTTTTTTTAATGAAATATCAAAAATTTGAGATTAAACTTTCCAAAAATATACAATCAATTATTAAGTTTCTATAAACTAAAATTTAGAAAATAAATTAACGAATATGGTTATATATTAATCACTACAAGAATAATTATTTATAATATTAAAAAAAAAACTATGAAATATAAAATATTTTTTGAAACGCCTATATGAGTAAATTTTCTAACTATGGTTTGTCTTTCCTAATTAGTTTCTATATCATTGTCTACTTCTTCTCATTTCCATTTCTCTTATTAAATATTAATGTCATTTGCTTTTAAAAAACTTAATATTTTTGTGTTATCCATTGCTTTTATAGATAATATTAATTAAATTAATCTTTATTTTATAATTTTCGATTTGTATGAGCATATATAAATAAAACATAAAAGTTTCTAATGTATAAGTTTATCAGTTAATATTGTATATAGAAAACAAACTTAGGCGTATTATTTAATGTTGGTAATAATCTAAAATAGTAATTCATGAGTTTATCCTCATGTGTTTTAAGAAAATTGATTCTAACAAAATATAAATATATAAGTAAACAATTATTTTGACAATCAAGTATATACAATAAATAAAATGATAAACCAACAGGTTATTTGTAGAACTACCACGGAAATTATTAGATCATAAAGAATCATAATATTTATTGTTGGTATGATAAACCAATGAGGTATTTGTCGAATTGTTATGCAACTTATACAAGTTTAGTAATAAAATCAAAATATTTAGAATATACATTATTACATTTTATGATAAGCCGGCGGATTATGTGTCGAACTATGAACTATTCACGCAAATTATTAACTTAGAAACAAAAAATATATTGTTATAAATTATAATAATAAACCAACAAGTCATCTGTCGGACAACAATGTAAACTGTTAGCTTAGAAAAAGTTTAAAATATTGTTATAATGTATTCTTTCATAAAATGTAATCATAAATCAACTTTTGTCGAACTGTTATATGAATTATTAGATAAGAAAGAAAAATCAAAATATTTATAATATACATTATGAATTATAAGAAATATTAAAACAATTTTGACATGATGAGAAATTAATATGTTTTATAAATTTAATATAACATAACTACATTCTTTTTAAATGAAGTTTCAGTTTAAAGTATTTGCTATATTTTATCAACTTTATCATCATCTAAGAAATCAAAATAATATATTTTAATAAGATATGAGTAAGAGAAGAGAGAATTATTTTTTTGAGTTTCATTTATTGATAATGTTTGAATTGTAAAAGTTTCATGTTTCTTAATTCCAAATAAGAACTCTAAACAAATAACAACTATTTTATAGCTAGTGAAACAAACACATGTATCATATATTAAACAATTATATATCATATATATCAAAAAGGTAAAAGTTAATATTGATATTTAAAACTATTACTAATCAATATTCCAACATTACTTTAGTTTATACGGTTTATCATTGTTTTTCGTGCATCGCACTGGCTACGTACTAATTTTATTCTAAATAGAAAATGCAACAGAGTTAATATAAAACTTAAAAGTAACTAAAATTTTTAAAATTTTTGTTAGTATTTGTTGGTTGTCATTGCTTAAATATTTGGGGAAAATCCATCATAAGGCCTAGATTTTATCAATTGTGTCAAATTAATATTTTTTAATATATTGGCGGCATAGGTATTTTTCAAGTTAAATTTGGAGGTTTACTTTTATTTTCTTCATATTATAATGCAATTATTATGAACTCTAGTCGAGAATATACTAAAAATAAAAACCCAAATTTAGAATTTATAAAATTTGGGTCATTATTTCACACAATAAGTAAAATCTAGGGCTTATGATGAATTTTTCCAATCCCCATCCCTAGACATGAGAGAAATAGAGTAAATTACAATTTTAGTCTTGTATGTTTCACTACTTTAACTTTTTTGTCCTCTTCGAATTGTGTTTTTGATTTTCGTCCTGTATATTTGAAAAAAGGTTACAAAAAAGTCCTTTTCGCAACAAAAAGGTCTTTTATGTTTTGCAAAAAAGTGTTCCAATTTCGTCCCTTATGTATGAAAAGGAACTTTGTGTAACTTTTTTCAAACATTCGGGACGAAAATAAAAAATACAATTCGAAAAGGACGAAAAAGTTCAAGTAGTGAAACATACAGGACTAAAATTAATTATAATTTACTCAGAGAAAATATGCTACTAAGTACTGAGGAATTGCTTCACAAATTAAGTTTTACAAAACAGAAATTGCTAGCTGGATGATATTCTTCTACATGAGCAAGTGAAAAATGAATAGATCCTCATCCTAACGTTGGATTTCCCAAAATAGAGTGCACATCTTAATACTGAGCCATATTTAGAGAGAGAGAGAAAGATAACAAACCTTTTTAGGCATTGTCCAGCCATATTCTGGATACCAATCTAAAGATGGACGCAAATCCTTGAATTCAGCCACATAAACTTTACCTTCGCCATGTGGTGGTGGTTTTAGCTCAATCTGAAGAAGTCACCCCCAAAATAAGGATATAGCTTGATTAAAGCTAACGACTGATATCATAGTCACACCAACACATTATATTCTTCTTCTTAAACTTTGAAGACAACATTTCACAGTAATCACTAAATGACTGTTTTCAACCTAGAGAACATATGTTTTTTCTTCAATAACGACCAAAAAAACAAAAGAAAAAATTAACTTGTATGCAGTAAAAGTGCCCAAATGGCACCTTCAGATATGTGGGATCTCAACAATTGACAGCCACTAGGAAATCTTTATCTTACATTAGTTTTTTTAACAGTGCTTTTTCCTGATGCAATTTCAAGAAGCCAAACCAAATGAATTATGCTACTTTGACATCACTAACAAGATTTTTTATCAATAGAAGTTGAAGAAGGCCAATTCAGAATCAGCATGTGACTCTGATTTCTCATTTCGAAGGCATGACATTCTTCCTATGACAACAAAATCCAGAAATTGAAAATTATTAATAATAATATTACAGGTTGCCTATGAAAATCTATTAGGGTGTGTTTGGATATAAAACAAAACCCAAACAATTTCCAAACACTTTTCACCAATCGCTTTTTTTTAACTCAAATATCAAAATCTAACTCAGCTTCACTATTCTCAATCTTATCAATATAATTAAATATTACCAATCAATTATCCATACATATCACATCAACTTTAATTCACTATCCATCCACTCAGATGATTTTAACTACTAATCACTTCCAATCACTTCTCTCTTACCTTTACATCAAATCAACTTTAATCATTTTATTTAAATATTTTTTTAATACATACTCAAAATCCCACTCAATCCTAACTCAACAAACTTTTTCAAAAAATTAACTATGTTAACAAAAAAAAAA